CCATACATGGGGTAATATAACCGTGAAGTCTTGTTTCTTTCTTTCTAACAGTGACTGTATTTATTTTATTCTTCCTGGTGGCATTTGGCATTTCTTAGCTAGGGATCAGTAGAGCTGGCAACTCAGAACTTCTAAGAATTACTATCTGTTTACCACAATCTCCACGTTCAAAGAATTAGCAGCATGTTTTATTTTTTAAATGTGCATTTTCTTTTTAAGACTTTGCTGTAATCTGGAAAACCCCATAGCTTTCAAACCACAGACAACAGTTCTGACCAGGATTGCAAGGTAACCAATGGATACCTGTAGAGTTAACAACTGTGAAGTTAATTTGCCATGAAGTTAAAAAGAAAAAAATCAATCTATCTCACCCATCTGTCTATCCATCCATCCCACTCCATCCAATCCCACCATATCCCATCCTAAAGGCTGGCTAGTTGTCTACTGACCAAATTTGTAGCAACATTTTTTAGTATTAAAATATAAGTCAAATGTGGGGTAAAGCTGGATTATCCATGAACAAAGAACTAAAGGAGAAAGATAAAAAATCCAGCTCTTCTCCATTTTGTAGAATGCTACTGTGTGTCACTGTGGGCAATTATTAAATCCAGATTATAGTGACAGATGGCATTTAAACTCTTTGGTTCTTTGTCAACCATCTGTCCTAAGACTCTTTTTATTGAGTTCATATTTCCTAGGTATTCCATTTTATAACAGAAGGCATGCACCCCTTGATATCATAGAGAACTGGTCAACCTTTGCTGTACAAGAGACTAGAAATTAAAGCTATTAATAACATACAGAACATTCCAGAAAAAAAAAAATATGGCCTGGTAGGTAAAACAACAGCAAGGGCAGAAATATGGAAAGAGTGGAAAAATCAAAGGTTAGAGTCAGGCAGGCCTGGGTTCAAATGTGGTTCAGTCATTTAGGAGCTGCATGCCCACAGACACATTCTGTATTGTCCTAGGGGAAGGCTCTAGTTCGTCCTCAGAATGTGGGTTTAATGAGATAATGCAAGAGAAGGGCCCGACCCTGGGTCTGTCACATGACAGACTGATGTTACACCCTTAGCTTCTTTTTTTCTCCCTAGGTTATGGAGGATGATGAACCCTGCTGATGCATAAATGCTTATTCCTCAGGGACTTTATATAAACAACTAGGATGTGACCTTGAAGGAAGGTTAATCCTGGCTTCTAGGTTTCCACTGAGAAATCTCTTTTCCCCTCCAGTCTTCTCATTATACCCATTAATAGAACCCTCCAGTTCTGCAGAGCTTTTACCCCAGCTCTGGTTAATTAACTAGTTTGCATGCAATGCCTCTCTTCCCCACTAGGATTTAAGTTAATCCTCTGGAGAAGGGCCTTGCATATAGTAACCACTCACTAAGTTATTTGTAGACTAAATGAAAAACAGGATTTTCAACAAGTGATACGTACCACTGATGGTATGAAATGATTTCAGGAACTGAATGTGAACTAAACTTCTTTTTTTGGTTAATCCTCACGGGAGGATATTTTTTCCACTGATTTTTAGAGAGAGTGGAAGGGAGGGAGGGAGAAAAAGAGAGAGAGAGAGAAGGAGAAACATCAATGTGAGAGAGACACATTGATTAGTTGCTTCCCAAATGTGCCCTGACCAGGGCTGGGGATTAAAGCTGAAACCCAGGTATGTGACCCTGACAGGGAATCAAACCTGCAATCCTTTGGTGTGCAGGCTGACGCTCTAACCTCTGAGCTACACCAGCCAGGGCTGGACTAAATTTCTTAATAATGTTAATGGTTATACTATATATATTTTAGTGTCCATTAGACAAATAACTGGCTCATCAAATCTGTAATTTTGTGTATTTTTGTTTAGATGAAGCTAAATAAAAAAGTAAATTGATTTCGAGTAATAAAAAATTAAGTAAGTATAGTTGTCATAATATGGCAAAAACCATGAAAGTGTTAAAAGAGATGACAAAATTCAGGGAGTCTGCTTTCAGAATCTATGGCTTATGATTTTTCAGCTGGTCACTGCAACAGGTGGGTCAACCCCGAATCAAGAGTCAAGTCAGAACCAGGTAAAGATGAGAGAAGGACCCCAGAACACACCTGGCATAAGTGAGAAGCATGCACATTCAGATATCAGTGTTATCATAGGAAATGCCAAACGTGAACTAAGCAGGAACAAGGGTCAGGTCCCATGGCCATATTCAAGGCCACAGCCAAACTGGCAGGAACTATCTAGGAGACAAGGCATCCTCCCCAGGAAGGGTGTGTGGTAGGCCCTGATTCATTCCCCTTCAGCTTTAAAGGCACATGGGCCTGGATTCTGATGTTTTCCCTTAGAGGCAATTATTTCTCAGTTTACTACCTCTCCGCAAGGCTTTCTTTTGTGCAATTTGAAGGGCCAATGTGTCTCTACCCTATATCTCAATTTCCCAGAAAACTGAAGCAGACTGTTGCTACTCTCATCAAAGGAACCTTTCTCTGAGTCTCCAACACTGAGTTCCCCTCCCCAGGCCCAATGCTAGGGTGAAGAGACAATCCTCTCATTTTGGATTGGAATATATAATAAATTTTCCCATGGGGAAAAATGTAATAAACAGAAAATAGGTCTTGATAAATTAGTACAAATAATGTTTCATATATGTTCCAGGTTATATAGGATTCTGCAAGCTAGCCTGGGAACCAGATTACCAATCAGACTACCACTTCACTGGGAAAATGTTTTAATACTGTAAAACAAAAATCTGGGTTGCAATTTTTCCATAGGGGGTGACTACCTATACTTACAAATACAGCTCACTAGTGAACATTTAACATTATATATCTTAAGTTTTATCTTTCACATTTTTCAGAAAAATATTGGTTTTGTTATCAATTATGGGTGGTGTTCAAGTCTTGTACTACTGAAAAAAAACTAATCACATTTCTGCCATAACAAAAGAACGACTCAATCTTTACATATGAGGACAATTCAGGCATATAAATATAATTCCAATAAACATTTCTCTAATCAATTCACAGCTACACCAAGCTGTTCCTGGGGTTAACTTGAATGACAGTCCTAACTCATGCCCTGCAATATGGACAGTAAATGATTCCTTGTTTTCACCATAAGCTTTTAACCCAACAAGTGTTTTCCACACTTGTCTGATGAAAAGAATTACATGAGGCACTTTTAAAAACAAGAATGCTTGGCCTCAGCCTGGTCATGAATCAGAATTTCAAGGGAGAATCTGAGCACTGAACATTTAAAGAATGCCCATTCCTGGTGATCCACGGTGGTTCTTAGCACGAAGAGTGGAGGGCTTGTTAACACCCAGGTTGCAGGGCCCTAGCCCAAAAGCTTCTAATCCAGTCAGTCTGGGGTGGGCCTCAGAATCTGTGTTTCCAACCAGGTCCCCCAGTGATGCTGATGCTGTTGGTCCAAGGACCACGCTTCCAAAACCACTTAAAGGCAAACCTCAGAGACATTGTGGGTTGAGTTCCAGACCACTGCAATAATCCGAGTATTGCCAGGAGAGCGAGTCATAATCTTTTTGCTGGTTGGAGGGTCTTGCCTTCAATTTGTATACAAAAAGCAACATCTGTGAAGGCCAATAAAATGAAGTATGCCTGTATGTAGCCTGTTTGGCAAACACTGCAGCTGAATTCAATATTACTTTTTTTCTTCCCTTCTTGGTAAAAAACAACATTGGATTAGAGTTCACGAGAGTTCCTTTGGAATCATACCCGTTAATTTGTTTTAGTTGCTTGACATTAGACAAATCAATTTACCATAACACCCCGCTTATCTCTTATTGTGAGGAATCAAAAAACTAAAACAATGGAAGAGGTTTGGTCTTGTACTTGGCACACAGTAGGCCTGCATTAAACATCTGTGTACTTTGATCTCCTTGCCATGATCCCCTCTTGTGAGCTACAGAAAAATCTGCCGAGTTCTAGAAATAGGTCCCAAAATTTATTATATGCACAAAACTTAATTTGGCTCAAACAAACAAACAAGCAATGGCTGACCACTTCTCCTCGCAAGCAATCATGTATCTTCGTTTTGAACGTAACATGTCCAATGGGAATACACTCGGTTTGCCAACTCACATTTTCCCATGGAAGTAAAAATAGAAAACAAGGGGCGATTAGATTACAATTAGGTTCTCTGTTTAATTTTGATCAGGCTGAATTTAGTACCCAGGTATGGATTATTTTCCTGGCAGATCTTCATTATATTGTTTGGCTATATCTTATGACCTGACAATCAAACAGATCAGACTCTCCAAGTCAGAGGCACCCTGAGGTCATCTAGCCCACTCACCCACTCTGTGAATGCCGCTGAAAAAACCTCAGTGTGGTGGTCCAGTCTCTTCTTGGACACCTAATGAGAATGCATTATTTTCATGAACCCCAACCTCTTCTTCAGATAACTGTCTGATGATTAGATTTTTACCCCCCTTCTGAACAAAAATCTTTATTTCTGTAATTTTAATATCTTTGGTCCTAGTTCTGTTCACTCTACCTGAATATACCCAATCTCTCCTCCACGTGACAGCATTCTGAAATTGCACTGACATCTTCCTTGCCTGTTCCTTTTCAGTCTAAACATTGCTTTTTTCAAGTATTTCACCATCAAAATGTCCATGTTCTTAACAGCCCTTGTCCTCCTCTTGTGGACAAAGTCCACCTTGAGGCTATTTCCTCACTAAAAAATACCACAATATGCTTCATGTTCACTATGTCCTATCATCACCAACAAAGACAAAATAAATTGCAAGAATGGTGGAGTGTTCCTTTCCAAACAGAGTTCCTAAGAGCTGAAAGTTACAGTCAGACCAAAGGACACTGTAAGGACTGGCTGGCAGTTTCGGGGCTGGCCTGGACGCCGTAGCCTGAAGCAGGTGGGTCTGGATGCTGTGACCCTGCTCAAAACAGAAATACTGTGCTGCCATGTCCATGACCGAAGACCCAGAAAGCTTCTTTCCAAGGAAGACAGAGTGAAACAAAGGTATTTCTTACTTTCTACGAAACATTTCTGCAAATATGCAGCCGACACTCCAGAGGTCCACGGGGGTGGCGTAGCTGGACTGCAGTAGGACTTCGGGAGCTCGGTACCACAGTGTGACGACCTGCAACGGCAAAGGACCGGAGCGTTACTGAGGAACACGGCTGTTTGCATCCCGGGCGGTTTAATCCCAAGACTCGGTCAGAAAAGATCAGATGGGGATACTGAGATAGAAGCATCAGGTAACTAGGACTCATCGCTGACAGGCCAGGAAATGACATCACCACCACAACCTGGGTGACACTCAGACTCTGTGTCTTAGTAGGAGGGTAACATATCTGTGTTTCAGAAAGCAAAGCAAAGGCTTAAAAGAAAAAGTCTTAAAATGATTACATTTTTCTTAAGGGGCTTACAAAATCAATACATGTAAAGCACAGATTGGCAACGACTGCAGCTCAATTCCCAGGTCAGCATTATTGGGAAATGAGAAGATGATTCCAGTGGCTGCTGGACAGTGACTGAAATCTACAGAGCACCCAGGATAAGTCAAAGCTACTCTTATCATGAGACTGTGGGGAATTAAAATCAAGCCTCCTTCAATGTTGATCTTTTCAGAAAACAATTGAAAAAATGAAAATCTTAAGAGACATGTGTAACCCAATTGTATATACCATGTAGAAAAAAAGTCATCCAGAGGAAGGGATTCCAAAATGGGAAGAACCACTTAACAAAGAGCACTGTATAATAATAGATGAAACACAACTGTAATTATTTCTGCCAGGTTAGAGGTGAGGAAAATGTATCATTAAGGCTCCAGATGTGTAAGAGTATATAAGGGCTCAAGTGCTTCTTTTGGGGGGAGAAGGTGGAGCAGATATTTTATGGATGCCTGAACTGAAGGTGTATTCCTTATTGTCAGATAAGAAATTCAATACATATATCTATTACATAAGCTTTTTACATTATTCATATTCCTTTTACCCTTCTTTACTGTTTTGTCTATCTAAATCTCCTGATATTCTGGCTTCATGTATTTTGATGGTAGAGGACTTGGCATATTAAGATGGCAGTAGTAAGTCTCTAAACTGGCTGCCCTCAATTTCCTTCTCTTCTTGTATGCACATACTGCTCCTCCCATCAAGGGATGGAGTCTAATTCACCTTCCATTGAATCTGAGTTGGCCTTAGATGGTAGAAGTGAAATCTGAGACTACCAAAGCTAGGTCACAAGAATTCTGGTGGCCTGAACCTTTTTGAATGCTTGCTCTTGAGATGCTTCCTCTTGGAACACATCTGTCACACAGTGAGAAGCCCACAAAGATGTTCCAGTCAACAGTTTCAACTGAGCTCTCAACTAAAAGCCAAGAGCGAACTATCTTGACGTTCAAGCCCACTTGGTTCTCCAGATGATCGTGGCCCCCTGCCAACATCACTTGGAGTGCAAGAACTACCCAGTTGAGTCCAGTCAACGCACAGAATTGTGAGTGATAATAAAATGGTGGTTGTTTTAAGTTTTGGGGTAATAATATTACATTATCTAACAAGATTCTTGACTGGTTCCTCCTTTTTATCTCATTTAATGTTTTGCTTTGAATTCATGCAAGGGGGTCAAGTTTTGTTTAAGGGATATCTGGTATTGATATCTTATGAAGAGATGGTGGTGATGTAATAAAAATTAAAAAAGAAAACAAACCCACCATACCAAAACAATGTTACTCAGTTATTATCTGGCTCCAACATATCTTTTCAGCATGATCTTCCACAGTACATTTATCTTCCTTACAGTTGAGTCACCTACAAGACCACATCACTGGCTCTCAACCCTGACTCATATCAGAATCATCCATGGGACTTTTAGGAAAACATACCATGCCTGGGCCTTATTTTGCCTTCACTGAATTAGGTCTCCATGGGTGGGGCTCCTGGAGTTCTTTTCTTTCTTTGTTTTTTTTAAAAAAAATTCGTTAGGTAACCCTAACTCTTGGCTAGGGTTGAGCACCAATCAATTACACACACATATCTTTCAGCTCATGCCTCCAGCCTTTTGTTGACACTGTTCTCCTAGGATGGAAAGCTCTTCTTTCTCCTCTTGACACACTGACATTCTACTTAGACTGCAAAGCCCAGCTTTGATGCCATTACCTCCCTGAAACCAGTGCCACCTGAAAATCATTCCTTGTAACATAGTTCATAAAAAATATGGTTCTTTCTAGAGGCTATGCATCCAATTTTATCCACTGTTATCTCTGTAAACGTCTACCACAACACTGTGCACACTACAACTGGGGTTTAACAAATATCAAATTAATGATTTCAAGGCGAGCATTTCTACAAGATAAGTGGGCAAAATTCAATTACCAGTCATTACCAAAAAAGAAGGTACTTACTACTTTTGCTAAGTACAGTGTCCAATTCTGAGTGCTGGTTTTCAGTTGTAATTGATTTCTGCTTTACTAATATTTTTAGCTGGAGGAACGCTTACTTCCCTACTTCTCTGATATACTGTAAACAAAAGTGCAGGTGCAAACTGTCCATAAAGTTCCACTTGAGTGGCTTACAGGCATACACAGACACTGTGAGGTCACACATTTATCTTCTAACTTCAATTTGAAATAAAGTCTAGCGTCATATGAGATGAAAAGTTTAATCTGAACAGAGCATTACTTTAGGCTGTTCTAAAGAGGCTGTGATTTCTGATTATTACCCATCCCAAATTACTTTAGTAGGACCATCTTCATCTCAGAACTTTAATCAGTGATACGTATTACAGTCATCAAAAGAATGTTTAGACAGTTTAAAATAAGAACAATATTGATATGTTTAGGAAGTTCCCCTCAATTCCTTTTATTTATTTTTTTCTTAGAGAAAGAGAGAGGGAAACATCGATCTGGTGCCTCTTGTATGTGCCCCGACTGGGGAGCAAACTCGAGACCCTTCAGTGCACAGGACAACGCTCCAACCAACTGAGCCACACTGGCCAGGGCACTTCCATTCCTTTTAAAATATAGTTACTACTCAAAATGGATAATAAATCCAGTGTCTGAAAAAATGTTTATTAATAATGACCATATGACATTCTCTTTTATTCTATTAGTAATATATTCATTACATTAATAGATTTCCTAATATTGTACCATCCTTGCCTTCTTAGAGTAGATCATTCCTAATCATGGTTTATTATTCTTTTAATAGTCTCTTGTATTTTATTTGCTAATATTTATATAGAATATTAACATATTCCTAAGTGAGACTGATCCAGTTTTTGTGTGTGTGTTAGTTTTTCATGTTTTGATATTAGGGATATGCAAGCTTTCCATCTTTTCTATATTCTCAAATATTATAAACAGCATAAGAATAATCAGTCCCTTAAAGGGACTCACTGGTAAAATCATCTGGGTCTGGATCTTTCTTAGTATTGTGTCTTCAACAATCTTGCGAATGTCTTCTTGGCAATTAGTTTCAACTTCTTTTTGAATCAAACTTTGCTACTACTAACAAATTTCCCTATGAAAATATTTAATTTAGATTAAAAAATGTACTGGCTTAATTTTGTACATATTTCTTATAATTATTTTAATATCATCTATTTCCTTGGTTTTCTGAGAAAATCTGATTTTTCTCCTTCTTAATGTTGCATATATTTGTTTTTGCTTTATATCAGTCAGGTTTGTCAGTTTAGCTATGTAATTTATTTAAAAAAACTGACATGGATTTATTTCCATTTTGGGAGGATTATTTTATTTTTATAATTTATTGACTTCTACTTTTCTCATTTTTGTTAATCTTTAAATAAACTTTTTCATTTTTGTTAATCTTTGAATAATATGTAATTTGAAGACTTTTAAAATCTTTAAATAATATGTAATTTTCTTTTAAAACAAGAGTAAACTAATTTGAAGAATGAATTATTTAGAAAAGTGTTTTATAATTTCCATATGGTCATAAAATTTCCACAAAATTCATCATTATTTATGGTTGTCTTTTAATTGCTGGATTTCTAATTTTATTGCATCACAGAGAACATAACCTTTACAATTTCCACTTGGTAGAGTTTATTATTGTTTTCTTTGTAACTATGCACAAACTTGGTATAAGGGGAGTATTCTCTTTTAAGTATAAAGTTCTTTACTAACAAGAGCCTTACTTATATTTTCCTGTACTTTATTTGTCAAACTTGAATAGACAATTTGAGTTTTTGTTTTCCTTCCCCCAGAATCTCCTGGTGTTTCTAAGGGTTTCTGCTTTATACACATCGGCCTATGTTTTTGGTAAATAAAATTTATAACAAGAAAAATCTTATTATAAGAAGAATTTAGATGATGGTAGACATATAATATAAAACAAATACACAAATCCTAGTGAGTCAGTTACAAAATATGAGAAAAAGATCCCATCCATATAGTAACAAAAATGTAAAACACTGAGGAATTTTAAGAAAGTGCTATAGACATAAATAAAACAATATATTATTGTTAAAGAACATAAAAACGAACAAACAACTAAATAGGAAGACAGACCATGACTAAGAAGGGGAAAAGCTATATTATAAAGATAATAGTCACTCCTATATTAACACAAACAAATTTAAGACAATCCAATGATTATGTTGAGGAATTTAGTTTTGAAAATAACGTACCTCTGGCTGAATAATACTTAATAGTTTGAGAAACGAGGATGAGGGGCATTTGCTCTCTGTTGCCAAAATATACTCTAAGGTACAGCAAATAAGATGGTGGTGCTAACAGATTAAAAAAAGTGAAGTCCAGAAAGAGACTGATATATTAATGGGGTTTAAAGTTTTTATAGGTAGCTGTATTTCCTCTTAGTGAGAGAGAAAATGTACTTGAACAGATCAAAGTAAGACCACTTGGAAGAAAGTAAGTTTGATCTCTACCTTACACCATCTATGAGAATCTATAACGGGTGGGGAACCTTTTTTCTGCCAAGGGCCATTTGGGTATTTATAACATCATTCGAGGGCCATACAAAATTATCAACTTAAAAACTAGTTATAAAAAAAGCTCCTAGGTTTATTGAATTTTGAGTCCTACCAGTGGTTGCCTTGGCGGGGCCAAACCAAAGGATTTCTCGGGCCCTGTATGGCTGGGCTGAAAGTTTCTCACCC